TGGAAAGTGGTCTTCTCCGTTGATTTTCACGATGAAGTCTTCAAAAATCTCTGTCTCTCTATATAGGGATGGCCAGTACTGAGCACACTGGATCTAGAAAGCAGAGAATTACATTTATATTAGTAACTCTAAGTTTACTTTTGTTTTTTGAATATAAGATACCAAAATGTAATATTTAAAGGTCACTAACCCAGTTTACTTATAGTTCTTCTCAATGGCTGTGGCACATTTCAAGAAACATACTTAACATTTTCAGGACTATAAAAGGATTTTTCAGAAAAGTTCATGCATATAGCACAGCACCCAAAATAATCACGGTTTTTTTCAATAGCTGAAAACTCTCAAAAATCTTCACAAAGTTGCCATAACATCAGTTTATGTGGGCAGAAATTAATAATTTCTCATTGCTTTCATACAAAATGCATTCAATGACTAAATGCTTCAAAATTCATGGAATCCTTTCTCACTCAAAATCCATCACCAACAAACTTAATGTTTTCAATGTAAAAATTACATCATATCTATATATATTTTCATGTGTGCATATATGTGTAGATATACACTGTGCATATACACTTGGGACACCTGCTTTTACACACACATGAACTTTAATGACATCCCATTCTTAATACATATGCTTTAATATAGAGTTGGCCCACTCTTTGCAGCCTTAACAGCTCAACTCTTCTGGAAAGGCTGTCCACAAGGTATAGGAGTGTTTTTATGGGAGTTTTTGACCATTCTTCCAGGAGAGCATTTGTGAGGTCAGGCACTGATATTGGACAAGGCCTGGCTCACAGTCTCCGCTCTAATTCATCCCAAAGGTGTTCTATCAGGTTGGGGTCAGGGCTCTGTGCAGGCCAGTCAAGTTCCTCCATACCAGACTCGCTGATCCATGTCCTTATGGACCTTGCTTTGTGCACTGGTGTGCAGTCATGTTGGAACAGGAAGGGGGCATCCCCAAACTGTTCCCACAAAGTTGGGAGCATGAAATTGTCCAAAATGGCTTCAAATGCTGCACTGGAACTAAGGAGCTAAGCCCAACCCCTGAAAAACAACCCCACACCATAATCCCCCCTCCACCAAAAGTACCGTTCTCCTGGCAACCGCCAAAGCCAGACTCGTCCATCAGATTGCCAGACAGAGAAGCGTGATTTGTCACTCCAGAGAACACATCTCCACTGCTCTAGAGTCCAGTGGCGATGTGCTTTACACCACTGCATCTGATGATTTGTATTACACTTGGTGATTTAAGGCTTGGATGCAGCTGCTTGGCCATGGAAACCCATTCCATGAAGCTCTCTACGCACTGTTCTTGAGCTAATTTGAAGGCCACATGAAGTTTGGAGGCTTGTAGCTATTGACTCTGCAGACAGTTGGCGACTTCTCATGCGTTGTCCCCACTCTGTGATTTTTTGTGGCCTACCACTTTGTGGCTGAGTGCTGTTGTTCCAAATTGCTTCCACATTGTTATAATACCACTAACAGTTGACGGTGGAGTATTTAATAGAGAGGAAATTTCATGAATGGATTAATTGCACAGGTGGCATCCCACAGTTTGTGACAGAGCACATGTAAATTAACATAACACTCACATTCAGTGTAGACACTAATGGAAACATGCATTCTACGGTAAAACATTAAATGGTTATAACACTAATTATGTACACTGTTAATACATGAAAGCGCACATTTTTTACATACTGCACATGCGGCGTGGTGCAAAGCATGCTGGTAACTGGAACAATTCCATCTTACTAACTGGGGCTACAATATAATCATTTTACCTTTTGAGATACACTAAAATTTCCATGACTGCACTGCAGACTTTACACTTGCTTACAGTTAAAGAAACAACATGCAAAACTTCAGTATACTTCCTGATAGGGCTGCAACTGTACACATATTCATCGGGTCCAGTACATAATTTTCGGTTCGGTATGCAAACGAGTACATTTATTGATACAGACAGAACCTGAAATCACAAGGGAATGTTCAACACAGAAAACATTATGCTAATTGTGGCTGTAAGTTAGTTATCACTAATGTTGGTGTACAATCAGTCATAATCAGTATTTTGAAAACATGGTTCCCAATAAATGACACCAGCAGTAGACAAAGTGTTGTTGATAAGACCAAGACTGTCTGTCAGCTGTGTTACAGTGAACCCTGATACACTATGTGGACAAACATATTGGGAAACCTGGCCATTACACCNGTTGTTGATAAGACCAAGACTGTCTGTCAGCTGTGTTACAGTGAACCCTGATACACTATGTGGACAAACATATTGGGAAACCTGGCCATTACACCTACAGGAACTTTTATGATATTCCAGTCTAAATCAATAGAAATCAATATGGAGTTAGTCACCCTTATACCAGCTGCCATTTTTCTGGGAAGGCATAGTAAGCCACAATATTTTGGGGTGAGCTTGTGGGAATTTTAGCCCATTGCATTCAGGCAGGTAAAGTTCTCCTGGCATCCGCCAAACCCAGATTCCTCCATCAGACTGCCAGACAGAGAAGCGTGATACGTCACTCCACAAAACACATTTCCACATTGGCACCGTGCTTTACACCACTGCATCCAACAACTGGCACTGCGCTTGGTGATGTGAGGCTTGCATGCAGCTGCTCAGCCATGGAAGCCCATTCCATGAAGCCCCTGGCACAGAGTTCTTGTTTCGTAATGCCAGAGGCAGTTTGAAACTCTGAAGTCAAGTGTTGCCGACTCTTACCCACTATCCGCCTCAGCGTTCGGCGGTCCTGCTCTCTTATTTTTTGTGGTTTGCCACTTTGCGGCTGAGTTTCTCCTGTTCTTAAAAGCTTCCACTTTGCAATAACACCACTTACAGTTGACCGTGGAATATCTAGCAGGGAAGGAATTTCACAAGCTGACTTATTGAAATGGTGGCATCCTATGACAGCACTGCACTTGAATTCACTGAGCTCTTCAGAAGGACCCATTCTTTCAGAAATGTTTGTAAACCTGACTGCATGGCTGGGTGCTTGATTTTATACACCTGTGGCAATGGGTCTGTATGAAACACCTGAATTCAATGACCAAAAAGTGTCTCCCAGAGGCTTTTAAGGCACTTTTATCATGAAATTCAGACCTGGCTAAAAAATAATTATGGCTATGGAGTGTTTATCACTACGTACTTGGTAGGAGACAACATGGGATTTAGTTCCTTATGATTGTTATGATCTAATACTTTTGATGTTTTTATTCTACATGTTTATTTATACAATGTGCAAATAAGCATCTCTAAGGTTTTGTTATGCAGATACATTGACAGTTGAATTGTTTTCCCTGCTGTACTGAAACTGTATCAAACCATGAGCCCAAAGCTGAGGTTTGTACCAAACCATGAATTTTGTGCACCGTTGCAGCCCTACTTCCTCATCAGCAGCATGTGCACAGGCGCAGTCTTTGCACTTACTGTACCAGCACATGATGAACACTAGATCGTTAAGTATCTACTCCGCTTACCCTCTTTCCTTCTTCACAGCGGGTCACCATGACAATTATAGATGACTGCTGCTCCCACACCATTCTCCAGAAATCAGCCACAGTCTCATTCGTAGGCCCTTGAAAGTTACAATGCATGTGTATTATGGGTAAATGAAGTGCATGAAGCCTACCCTGTACATCACCCATTCATCCATCTCACCACAATTTATCCTGTACAGAATCATGGGGATTAAGCCTGTACCAGTTTATTTAGTAGTTCATTGAAGCCAGCTGCTTCTTCTGACATTGGCCCTGGAGATTAGTTTTGGTGTTTTTGCTTGTTACTTGATCATTAAAAATATATATACATTTTTCCGAGATCTTTACCTTGTGCAGAAATGTACTTGTTTGGTTCCTTGTATCCCTGCAAACAAAAATAAGTTCTTATACTTATATGTGTGACGATAGATAGATAGATAGATAGATAGATAGATGGATAGATATTGAACTTGTCTCACATCTATGAAGCTGGCATTGATGTAATCCGACCCATGAGCACTTGAGGACAGCTGGACACGATTCTTGTCATCTGACAGTAAACAAATGACACATTTAGTCAGTGTAGAGTTCTAGCCCCTTTTATGGCTGTTGAAAGTTAAATACTACTGATGTACAGTACTCACATGGCAGGATATCAACGTAGCGGTTTTTGGTCTGATTGCAGTACTTCCTGGCTTCTTTCATGGGGAACTTTCTATATACTACAGGAATGCTCTAATAAAATGAGAAAATCACAGCGTTAGTTGTGTGTAAGGTATGCTTATCCATAGATTAAGGGGTGAGTGAGAAAGCCCAATGATTCACCTGAAATTCAGCCAGGAAAAGGCAGCCTTCGTTAGCAATCTTTTTCTTGAAGGTATCGAGTAGGAGCTCTGCTCTAATGGGCTCCACATTCAGCAGGCT